ATATATATATATATATATATATAAGGAAAATTAATTTTTAATGTACATACGATTTATTTCTCGTTATTTATTCACAATGCTCTCTAATAAAATGATACACATAATGATGGGTGATAGTCATATTATAGAAGCATGCGAAGCATATTGTCTTTCTATACCATGCGCATCGAATAAACGTTATCATGCCACAATCACACTTACTAATCATATTTCCATTAAAACACACGTCATTAAAAAAAGCGCAACTATTCATTTTTTAAATATCTATCGATTCCCCCAGGTTTGAAAACGATCCATCGTCGTGACCTAAAATCACGATTTTCTCAAAAAATACGCAGAGGTGCAATTTATTGCTTTACAGGGATTATTTTTTTAATGCTCTAGAATAACTATGCAAAAACTAATCAAAATCCGTGAAATACTTGTGAGTCTCTCTTTGTCAGATGTGACTGTGCGCCGAAATATTCGGACTTTCAAATCAATCTGAGACTAATAATTTAAGATATGATTAATAAGATTTTCCAAAATATTTTCACTTCATTATAAAACATTTTTATTGCATTATATCTTGTAGAATACCATATTTACTTTATACAAAATTAATAATTTTTAATTGTATCGTTCAACTTCGGCCTTCGTCTCAAGATTTGGCCAACTCTTCTTCTACCACCATGATAACCACCATGATAACCACGATTATCGCTACCTCGATCATCGCCATCTTGACCATCGCCACCTTCTACATCATTGCAGTCATCACCATTCTGTTGTACATAAAAAATATATTTATAAAAATAAATATGTTGTAAACAAAAATAAATATAATAGAGAAAGAAAAAAAATATTAAGAATATACCGGATATCTGGAAATTATCAGTATTTTTTTCTATCCACAGATAACCGAATATGTTATTTATATAATAGGTAAATATAACATATTCTGTTGTTGCTCCAAAAGATCTCATAATGCTTCTGCTCTTTTTGTTGCTGAAGCATTTCCTTTAACATATGCTGTTTGTTTTCGATAGGAGTATCATTCTCCAAGAGCATACGCTCAGCCTCTGTAATTTCTTCAGAAAAGACCAAAGAATAAAAATTGTAAGCCGACGTGATTTTCATGTCAAAATGACGACAAAGAGACTACTGCATAACAGAATATGATAATCGCCCGAAATAAAGAATTCTACAAACTTATCATAACATTATAATAAAAATAAAAAAATTCTTACGAAATATGCGTTTAAAACTTATGTAATACTTACTGTAGACACTATTTCAGACAAGATGCACATCATCATTGTGTATTGTCACAATTATGGGATCAGAAAGGTGAAGCATTGCACAAGACGGGGTAGGAATGGGCGAATTTCGATCACTAAAACGCAACCGGCAATGCATGGCAATTCAAGATCACATTGGCCATTCATGATCACGTACATAGGAAAGAACGGTAGTAGTTTAGGGCCAAAATTTGCCTGTGATGAAAACGTATAAAATCGGTCAATCTTTATAGATTGGACGTGTTGAACTTGAGCTATCGATCTCAATGAATTATTTTTTTTTAATCATTCCTGCGTCCGGAAATAAAATCTAAAAATTCTGGTGTAAAATTCTTAAGACTATTGACGATTAAAAAAAAAAAAAATTCATTGAGATCATGTATCCGCAGGTACACGATCTCAACGAATTACTTTATTTTAATCGTTAGTAGTTTCAGGAATTTTATTCGCACTTTTAGATTTTCGTTTAAAATGCCTGGACATATGTAGGAAATTTTCAATCATATGTATGAGCAATCGATTGTCTGTTACATGGACTTACATTTAATTTTCGCTCCACGAAACACTCCAAATTTCATTCACATAAATTAAGTTAATTTTATCTTTTTTATATATTATATATTATACACATTATTTTACTTTTGACCAAAAACTCATAGCAAAATTTGATCTCTATTATTATTTCATTGTCGAAGTACTTTCGAAAACTATTTCCGTATCACGTTACCAAAGTTATCAACAAGATGATCTTTCAAGAACGACAAATCTACTTACGTAAATAGGAACCGTCTAAATCTTTAAACTCGCATCTTTGTCCGATATATCCATGAGCGCATCTGCGAAGCAAAAATTACAAAATTAGGTAACTATATATTAATTAAAGTTATCGAAATATCACAAATGGATGGTTTGTATGCTTTTCTTTTTGTAATTTGAATAAGATAAACGTTCCAATGACTGGACATATACCTATGTCTGGACACTTACACATAATAGGAAATTTTTGCAAAAACGTGAATCCAGATATGGTGAACACTAAAGTCACGTTATCCTTTTCTTAAGTAGTTGTTAAGAAGAAGATAACCTGATCTTAGCGTTCACTATT